TAGATTCGTTGCATGGCGCAGAGTATTTTTCCAGCCTTGACCTGCAAGCGGGCTACTGGCAAATACCAGTGTCCGAATCTGACAAAGAGAAGACGGCTTTACCACCCCAGATGGGCTATATGAATTTAACGTAATGCCTTTCGGACTTTGTAACGCGCCTGCTACCTTCGAACGTATGATCGACAGCGTACTGCGTGGCCTTAAGTGGAAAACCTGCTTATGCTACCTAGACGACATCATAGTGTTTTCGTCTACCTTTTCGCAACATCTACAACGTCTCGAAGAAGTCCTAGGTTGCCTTGCAAAAGCTGGTGTACAGCTGAACACGAAAAAAATGTACCTTCGCAAGCAAGGTGATCAAGGTTCTAGGGCACTTAGTCAGCAAAGACGGTATTTGACCAGATCCTGAAAATCTTGCCGCCGTCCTCGAGTTTCCGCGTCCGTTGCGTCAAAAAGAGCTGCGCAGCTTTCTCGGCTTGGCATCCTACTTTCGGCGCTTCATACGGGATTTCGCAAGGCTTGCCTCTCCGCTCCATCAACTGCTAGCAGGTAACACGGCATTCGTCTGGGCCGAAGACTGTGGAAAGGCTTTCCTGGCGTTGAAGCAAGCCCTGACATCGGACCCGGTACTATGTCACTTCGATCCAGGTGCACCCACAATTCTTCACACTGACGCCAATGGTCATGGTCTCGGTGCCGTTCTACTGCAGCGTGACAACACCGCACGCGAACGTGTCATCGCTTACGCCAGACGTGCTTTGACTGCTGCCGAGAAAAATTACACAATAACCGAACAAGAGTGCCTTGCTGTTGTATGGGTGGTAAAAATTTCGCCCATACCTCCACAGCCGCCACTTCACAGTCGTCACTGACCACAACGCATTGTGCTGGCTTTTGTCGCCAAAGAACTTATCGGGTCGTCTTGGCCACTGTGTGCTTCGTTTACAAGAGCACAACTTTGATGTCGTCTACAGGTCTGGTAAGAAGCACCAAGATGCTGATGCTCCCTCTCGCTGCCCTCTGCCCAACCGTAATAGCCCACCATCACCAATTTCCACTGCAGCATTACCCATCGCAGGTCTCAGTTGGCTAAGATCCGGCCGCCCTTCTACCCTTGTGTCACATCAACGCGTTGACCCTTACTGCCGCTCCATGATGGCACGCTTAGAAGGCACATCCACTCCTCCGAACGCCCGACTTCACCGACAACTGAAACAATTCAGGCTTCACAATGGTGTTTTACATCGCTATATTTACCACGTTAAAGAAAACAAATGGGTCCCTGTTATTCTTGAGACATTCCACGATGATCCTGCTGCTGGGCATCTCGGCTATCACAAAACGTACGACAAAATACGCAGTCGGTTCACCTGGCCTGGCCTCTCATCCGCGATTGCCAAATATGTTTCTTCGTGTGCCTTATGTCAACGGCGGAAACGACCCACTACTGCTTCTTCTGTCTTTCTCCAACCTCTTCCTTGTCCCGCTTTGCCATTTGAAGTTGTCGGGATAGACTTGTACGGCCCCCTTCCCGAAAGCTCCAATGGAAATCGTTGGATTGTAACGGCTGTTGACCACCTCACTCGTTACGCGGAAACCGCCTGACTGCACGCTGGTACAGCCACTGAAGTAGCTGATCTTTTTCTGCGTAATATATTTTTACGCCATTGAGCTCCACGTGTTCTACTCAGCGACCGCGGCAAGGTCTTTCTTTTCTCTATTCATGCTGAGGTTCTACGCGCTGCCAACACCATCCACATAACAACTTCTACTTATCATTCTCAAACAAATGGCTTGACTGAACGCTTTCATCGTACCCTCTTGACATGATTGCCATGTACTTTAACCCTGACCACACGAACTCGGACGCCATTTTGCCATTCGTAACGTTCGCCTACAATACAGCTACGCAACGCACCACCGGCTTTTCTCCCGATTTTCTGGTCCATGGCCGCTCTCCAAGTGTAACTCTGGGCGTCTCCTTCATTTCAGCTCCAGCTACCTCAGCAGGCCCTTTATCCGCACAATTTTTGTCTCGCCTCGAGCACTGCCGTGATCTGGCCCGAATCTACACCAGCATCTTTCAAGAAGCTCGCAAGTCTCGCTACGACTCAACTCACCGAGCTGTAACCTTCTCCCCAGGAGACGAAGTTCTTCTGTGGATTCCCGTGCGTGTGCCCGGCTTAGGTCACAAATTCCTCAGTCGTTTTATAGGATCGTATGCGGTGATTGAACAAACGTCCCCCGTTAATTACCGTATTTCATCACTTAGAGCTCCCTCCGACCACCGTTGCCGTGGGACAGAAATTGTGCACGTTTCTCGGCTGAAACTGTATACCCGACGCAATTCCTAATATTGCCTCTCGCCCGGCCAGGAGGCCACTTCCAGCGTGACGGGGAATTAGTGTGAGCACAGTCACCGACTCTTCTTTATCAATTGGACGTGTCATCATCATTTGTATATTTTTCTCATCTGTAGATATCATCATCAGTATGTGCCAGCTCGAGATTGCCTCGAATAAAGCGGTCCTCATTATATATATATATATATATATATATATATATATATATATATATATATATATATATATATATATAATATATATATCCTGACGAAGGCCGTGCCACGGCCGAAACGTAGAACGTAGAGTAAACAATTATCAATTTTCGTAAGTGTGCTCCTTTATTCCTAATTATATTTGCACCGGACCCACAGAATTTATTTTTTTGAATCATATATATATATATATATATATATATATATATATATATATATATATATATATATATATATATAACTGCCCGTTAAGCGACGTACAAGACCCACTGTAAGCATAATACTTGCATGCCCACGGCGCCACGAAGGTGGCTATACTAAGCCTGCAACGACTGCATGTATCAACTCCCTAGCAGAGACGTGACAGGCCAAGATCACTGCTCGGGACCAAGTCGACCAGCAAGGACCTGTCGCCACTGCCCTATAGCCGATTGCGGCCAGACAATTCATGATATGAGGGTCCTCCCACTCAGGTCCGTGGCTAGGAAAATGTCCTGAGCCATTGCCCTTCCGCCAAAACTTCAATGAAGGTTTGCCTTTTACCGAGGACATTATTCAAGAATAGATGTTTTTCGAACCCTAAAATAGGTGCCACTCGCCCCACCCACCCCCAGAGAAAAATTTTCGCTTGGGCCTGCTCTCACCTGGGGTAACACCAAGCTTCTAAGCTCGGGAACATTGTTTGGAGACGTTAAACGTTAATTCAGTCATAATCGTCATTAAACCCTCTAGCTACGCGGGCTCATGTTTAACGCTCCATTTTTTTCAGCGATAGGTCCTGTATTCCGCCCACCCTGAGGATTTTACTATTTTGTACCTGGTGCTCCAGCAAGCCGTACGCAAGCTGAAAATTATCTTTTCAGAGAGCCACGCGTACCACGTGAGGTTGTTGCACAGACGAATTACCGATAGGGAATGCTATTTCGTCTGGCCTAGCAGGTTTATTGCTCCGCTTTTTAAAGTTAATAAAATGGGACTCTATGACCAGGTAACGTAACATATTCATCCACAATGCCCAAAATAGGCATCAATACTTCTCCCGGGGCAAATCTGTTTTATAAATATCTTTTTTTTTCTTGTGTATCCGATTGCGCGAAAGGAAGTACTGTCATTTTCTGTGCAATCTCATTGATTTTAACATACAATTTGCTGTGTTATCTCAAAATAATTTATTTATTTTATTGGTGACTTGACACATGGCATACGGCTTTCTCCACTGGCTCAAAGGACTGCGATACAGAAGAGATTGTTTGAGCAACTTTATCTTAAAAAATCAATCTCAGAAAAACAGGCTCGGTGTTATTGTCGGGAACTGTAAGGCACCCAAACCTGTGGCCCAAGTACCAACGCCAACAACTATCAACTTCCGGAATGATGACAGTGTAAATTTTCAAGCAGAAGTGATAAATCTGATGCTGCACCGGAGCTGTATACTCCGCCACTTGTACAATGGCAGCAAGAAAGTGGAGAGAGATACAGCAACGTTGGAAGTAATAGTTTGCAAAGACGTACTGAAATGCATTCGTGTCGATGCATTGGTGCGTTATGCACACTGATTTAGATAAGAAGAACTGAATCCGTAAAAACAAGCCCATACACCTGGTGATATCTAGGGACAGTCTAAGGTAACAATTCAATTGTTACTTCACAGTCCTATTGTGCAGGGTCAGCGAAGCTCTTATTTTTTTCAGCGTTCTTTTCAGTACACAGGCCACTGTGAATAAAAAAAGGCCACCTGTTTTGTGGGAGAACGTAGGGTCGCTGGCATGAATATCTGGTCTTTGTTGCGTGTTCTATTTTTTGTTGTTCTGGGCGGATCGTCGATACCAGAAGCATATGGTGAGCTAGAGAACTTCTATTTTAAGAATGGAGCCCTTTCAGGAGCCACGTACTCGTATTGAGCTCGTCGTTTCTTGGTGTAACACTGGCAAAAACACATAGGTAATAGCCATCTGCAGCAAATTGCACTCACTCTCGTGCCTGCTTGCTAAAATTGCTGTACAGCTGGGGGTTTCTACATTGGGTTATAATATATTTTCTATATTGGGTTATATAATAAAAGTTGCGTAAATAAAATTAAGTAATTGATTCGTTTAGAAGGATTTAAAACATTACCTGACAATTTATTGGCTAGTGTGAGCTGTATGCGTTTGATTCAATTAGCCCCTAAGGTGGCCTTCATTTTCCAAGAGTGGCTCATGTTATGTTGGAGAACCTGACACCGGTATATATGCATTTGTGTGTAATCGTGTGCAGATAAATGAAAAACAATGACAATGAATTCTCCAGCTTCTTGTTGACGACGAGAAGTTAATGAGCGATGTCGCTAACAGAGACGCCGATGAAGTAATATTAGGATACGTGTATTCAAATAATTTTGAATTATACATCCTTTAGCAGCCTAAGGAGCGTAGAAGGCGATCATTAACCACAATAGGAACACATGGGTTGGAACGACCTTTGAACTACATGAAAGCTCCGGAATTATAGAGCTTCAGTTTTCTCAGCCAAGCACCGCTAGACTGCATTAAGCACTCGAGCAGTATCAATCTACAAACTGCTTGATTTATTGAAACATGTAATGTACACAACAGCCGTTTTCAAGATTAACGAATGACAGACAGGTAACCTACCCACCAGTTGCCATCTTACAAAGTTTCAATTTCATCTTCCTTTAACATTTCTTTGACACAGACCACCGATGCGGTAATACTGTGGACTCTACTAGTCAACCTGGGAAATGCTCTCGTCAGCGATGGTTCTTTAATCAACATTCGAGAGTGTGTACTCAAAGTTGCGACAAAGCAGCTCCATTTTCAAGCAAAATAGAATGCCAAGGAACATGTCGAAGCAGTAAGAATGTTTGTAAACAATTTCTCTTCTCCTATTTTATGACTATTTTGCTTATTGCGCATTATTGTCTTCGCTCCAAGCTAGGTAAGGTTGAATTTCAGCTGCCAGCAGCATTTCGATATGTCACGTGGCACAATGCTAACAACCGGCAGAAGTTTAAAACACAAAACGTAATGCTAAGCGAGTGTTCTACTTTACAAGAAACCTGAAGATGTTTTCACAAAATGCGTACATATATCCATTGCAACCTGCAAATGACAAAGTTAAGTGTTAAATATGTGTTTATAACACCTGCTTAACCATTTCAAGGCAGATACCTATAATTTTTCTGAACGGCAGTGATTCTGTAGTCAAGTATTCGTAATTTCCACTACTCAGTCAATGTTCCTGGCATCTAACCCACAGACATATACTCGGTTGAAAACCTCGAGTGTAAAAAACCTCACGAACACTTATGACACTGACACAGTGCATTTCTACCCTACATAAGTCAAACCAAGGATCGTCCTAGCGATAGCACTGTGAATGAGCATCTCTTCTATCAAATTTATTGCACCTATTTATCACGCCTTGATATACATAATAATAGGTTTTCCTTATACTATTTCATCGCAAAGGAGTAAAAGGCACTCAAAATCATTCAAATTTGTTGAAACATGTGACTCAGAGGCTAGGTATAAAAACGCTGATGCAGATATCCGTAATCTACTGCAATTTCTATTTTTGATCAAAAGTAAGCAGACAAACAAAAAGTAGCAGATAAATCCACAAGTTTGACGAGAAAGGTGCCACGCTCAGACTTCAGCAAGCTCGCTCATTAGTCAATTCGCTGCCACTCACTCACACTCAGATCTAACCGTGAGTCTGAGTGAGACCTGGTGAGCAATATTTTGGTGAGTTTCGCCATCACCTGGGCCATAGTGTTTGTGACCTTACACCAGTTATTAGAGGCCAACATATTCAATAAAACGTTTGCTTGCTTTCGTACGTGTGTGCCCTGAACACAATTGTCTGAGTGAGTCTGTATAAGATGCACGTTTTATTACCGACTTGTAGTTCTACCTACTCATTTTGTAAAATAGTATTAGGAAGATTTCAGCTCATGTCGATGCCCTTGTCCACTGACAGATGTTGTAAAGCATTTGCACTGATACGCCAGCTGGTCAATATTTATTGACCAGAGGCATGGGCTACAGAGAAAGGCGCCTTGACCTCTCCCGCAATATCCTTCACGGGATGTTGTTGATAGAAATACCACGTGCGAGTCGTTTTATTCAGTGAATGTGTTCATTGTGGATTGGAACCAATGATAAGGGCCGTTTGACAGTACAAGTTCATTCGATGCACCATACAGAACTGATTGTGTGACATATCGGCTTTAGGCCAATTTTACAGCTTGATCGTAACAGCCAATTCTACTAACAAATAAATCAGTCCGCTCAGTCAAACTCACTCACAATAAAATTGAGCATTGGGTGTAGGTCTGAGGAAGTACAGGACGCTAAAAAGTTTTGGCCTGCTTGAGGCCTAGTACGCATGGTTGAGGAATCTTTATATAAGTCGGTCTGAGCAAGTCTTGAGCACAAAATAAATTTTATCGCATCTAAGTAGTTCTCAGATTGTAAGACGTATTTTCCGCTTACCCATGGTAGCCATATAAATTGCAGAAATGATAAGAGAATAGCAGAACTAATAAACTTGCTTGAAACGTAGTGACGCACTTCATTTGTCTTTTTTTTTGATGAACTTCGAACGTGGAACATCTTACCTAAAGCTGTTGTAAGCTATGAATAGCCCTGCATATAAGGTAAATGTCAAAAAAGGGCACTTAGTATTCGAACGCACAATTTGTAGCTACCAATATTTCGATATTTGCTTATAAATTACACTTGCATGTTTCGTGCTTCTCTGTGGTTTTAATACCCACAGTGTACCCGAAAGTGTACGTTACCTCTAACATAAATTAGCAGTATATGTGATGCATTTCAGTCAGAATGCAAGCACAGTAGTTAACTCTAGAATATAGTTTACTGTAAGAAGTTATTACTAAAAAGTAAGAAACTTGTATAAATTGTCACAATCAGCATTGCAACCGTTTCAATTCTCGCCTCCTTGTTAATATTTCGAATGAGGACATGTTGCTTCAGCATGATTCAAAGGCAAAATATGGATGACGGGACCCTTCACAAATGACTTGAACTTCATAAAATTGTTATATCATTCACACAGTACTTCACATAACACAATCAATGTTCAACTTTTGCTTTACAAATGCAGGTGATGTTTGCAATTTTCCTGTGGCCAGCGCCGTGTGCGACATTGAGGCGTCTCCCGTATACATTTACAGTCCGAAAGATAGAAGCTGCTTTTTGACGTATGATTGTACTTACTTTCTGAACAAGTTTCCAACGTTGCTGGAGTGCTACCAAACATGCAAATGGCGTAAGTGTCTGTTTAAAATCTAGTAGGCTTTACAAAAACATCTTCCTTAATATGCTAAAGTATAATTTAACAATATAACATAACAGGCCTTCTGAATGCTACTGAATTCATCAAGTCATAATCGACATCATTTGCCTGTTTTAGGAAGTTGTTTCATGTACTCTGAAAAAATAGTAATGCTACTTTATGGGGGTGGTCATGGCGTGCCATATATATGACTTTCTTTAAGTAAGCATGGTGACTCTCTTTGGGTGTCATTACTCTCCTTTTAGAGAATCTTGTGACCCAAAAGAGTGTCAACGTGCCTCTTTTTAAGAGAGGCCCATAAGTGGCACTTCCGGACTAGCCAGAAGGAGTCCCACATACTCCATCTTTTAGAGCGCAGAAGCGAATGAAGTCCTTTTCAGTACTCTAGAACAAAAACTTCTAGTAATCGAATAATGTACGTAATGCAACACAATAGTATATCCTTGTTATGAGCTAATATATACATCATCTATACGAATACGTTTATTGGTAAAAATACCTTAGGCAAAAGTACACCAATACTTTTACTTGCAGAACATGTCCACGAGTATTGCAAACACAATCTGCCTGTTTTGTCACAAGCTCAAGGGTTATTAGTGCCAATAATTATTTAGAATGATATTTAACTCATGTAAGACAGTTGACAGAGTCCCATTTAGCAACTTTCAATAAGTGCATTTTCAAATAGTCTTCATACTCCCGTAACATACTCATAATGCATGTACAAGTACTTAATCAATATCTCCGATGCTAGGTTCGATGCGCTTATCAGTAATCAATCGAAAAATGGCTGGCATTCTTGACCACCTAGCCAGCTGCACTTTGTAGAACAAAAAATTACGTGAGCGCTAAATATCAATACAAGCATTGAATTGATGATGTCGAAATTACCACGGGGTGAGAAATGTAGCTTGAGTGTATGTGCGTGAAATTGTTATGTTATATGAGGCTGGCGATTTCAAGTTTTGCATAATATTGCTTGCATATTGAACATATTAGGGCCAATTATGTGGTACATGACTTAGTAACAGAAAAGTATTCGTAACACAGAGGAATGAACAAATAAAAAATCGCTTCAAGGTAACTTGAACAATATAACAGTGTTGGACACTTTTGTCGAGCCAGTTGCCAAGTGAGAGGAACTTTACGAGAAACAAACGCATTCATAAAATCGACCCTAAAGGAAGCCTAGCATTACCGTCATTAGTAAAACAGTATGGGACAGTACTACTCTACGATCGCTAATTATTGCCCTGAATGACACAAACCAACACAGCTAATCCAAATAAAACAACAATCAACTGAAATTACCTGAGTGCATCAATTGTGGCTGGGAAAGTAGCAAAATATATTGATTCAATTTATTGGTGAAAACAAATTATTTGTTTGTGGAACGCAGAACATCGCGTTGAAAAGAAATATCAATCAGTTCATGCTCTATGCTGCACAACATAATGTGTTTTCCTGGCGATATATGCGGGCAAGTTTGGAGACAAAAAACTCTGTACTAAACTATTGTGCAGATATTAAGACCACTTCCCAGTTTAGAAAAGAAGCTTTGCAAGTATTCAAGTGATGAGATGTGGAGGCATGTGCAAATATGTAACAACCTTTTGCGGGAACTGTGTTTTACTGAGGAGCCTGGATTGTTGCCAGAATATAAGTTGCGAAGCTCTTACTGGAACTATGATGCAATTGACTGAGTCCACGTGGCCATGGACTTCGCACGAAGTCTCCAAGTCGGCTGCTGTTAAACGCATAGCATAGTTATAAAAAAAGGATTCCCCTCAGATCCAAGAAATTAATTAGCAGTACACTTGCTTGTTTTCATCGATGTTAGGGTCTATTTTAGTAGTCTGAATTGTTTCCAAAGCTACACGCTTTATAAAACAATATGAAGTTTACCTAAGCTTCTTTTCCTCCTACTGCACTTGCAAAGTAAATACTTCTAAGGAACGCCGACACTTAAGACTGCATGTCATCTGTGGTGAATATAATGTTTGTTAGCAAATTTTCTCATTTCTCGCTTCGCCCCTTTCCCGTGTGGGCATTCCTTAGTGAAGTCACTCTTTGATACCATTCCCTAACCTCGTTTTTGTAGGCGCAGCACCACAACACGTCGAGAGCAGTACAACAGCGAACGCCACTCATGGCCGCCGTCTGCCAAGCTACCTCGAGATATTGCAGCTGCGGCGTACTTCAGCGTTGTCATTGATACCAAATCTCAGAATAGTGATGCCGTCTAAACCTCCAACTAAAGGTAACTGCACTTTGTTCATGATTAGCGAAATTAGGAGTGCTGCACCCTGTTGAAACCAGTGGTGATTGTGAGTGATTCGACTCAAAGCAAAAGCCCTTCGGTTAATTTATGGAGTGTGGAATTCACACATAATAAAATGCATGTTTACGTACAACAATTATGTATAAACAAAGTGGGCGCTGAAAATCGGCATATTTTTTTTCATCTACGCACAGATGCATCTGCGTGGCACTCGTTTTGGGGAACGAGAAGGAGGCCCACTGAAGGTGTAAAGTTAATATGTTATATCAACAGTGTGGCTGAAGGGGCATAGGCAAATGCATGTTGAAGTCTCGTAGTACACCGTCGTATCCTAGAGCTCAATTCTCAGATGCCGAAAATGTATTCTCAGAGAGGCGCTTATGTTTCAAGCTTAGTGCGTCAAGATTTTGAATGAAGTTTCCTTAGTGATGGGGTTTCAGATCATTAAAATTGAACATTACTGAAAAAAGTGGCCAATAACTTACGAATCAGTACGATTACTCTAAACGCATCACTGACCTCGCACACAGTTGAAATTGCTTTGCTGAAATGACTGACGAACAATTGCACGGGGTTTATGAGCTAGAACACGACTTCCTTTTATGGTGGGTCTTTCAATTTTCTTCCTGTTTTCTTGAGAGGCACCACCTTCGTTGCTGTGGCAGTGAAGTCCACAAGGTGCTAACGTGACGACACTTTGTTGAAAGGATTCTGCCCGAGAAAGAATAATTTCCCAAAATATTGGGCTGCCAGCGAAAACATCGGGCTGTACCTTAGCTCAAATTGCTCGAGCCCCATTTACTGTTAACGCTAAACCATGCGTGAACTTGGTTCATCTAAACAAAGCTGGCGTACATTTTACCGCAGAAAAAATGAATCAGTAGAATATTTCTTCGTACAAATAAATAAAGCAGTTAAATCTATCGCGTAAACAATGCATATTCACGGTGTTTTGAGTATTATTCGCGAAGGTTTTGCACAATACGCCTTTCAATTAGGTACAAAAAGAAATGACGAATTTTCTCATTGGCTGCAGCCATTTCGTGGATGCACTCTTAAACATTTGGCATTACCACCTTATGGTGCTCTACGATCATCACAAATATAGTGTCACAAGCTTTTATTTATTCCAAATCAGTTTATTCGAAATATTTGCCACTGTTGATCAAAACAGCCAAAATAAACAGAGCACACAACAATGAAGTTGGCAACTGACGGCCATTTTATCAAAATCAAGGTAGTAAGGCATGATAATATTCATAGGCATATGTACAAAACAGAGTGGCTGTCTTTAAGAAATAATAGTAATATAGTATGAAAGCTCTAGGAACTATATACAAACACATAAAAATATGCAATTCACGCTCTCACAAAACTATATTTGCTACTATATGAAACTCGATCTCTCTAATCCCGACTTTACGAAGTTTCCAATCTAAACAAGGAATTTTGCTTTTTCAGCATATACTGATAGTGAATATATACTGATAGTGAATTATAGTGTTACCATAAAAAGCGTGGACGGGAACCCAACGGCAGTACATAGGTATTCAAAAAAATGTTTTATGTGTAAAACTGCAGTAATTTCCTTTCAATATTGCATGAAAATGCCTAGGTGCCCTACTAAGGTCCCGATAGCTTAGGTTTATTGAGGCAGAAAGCTTACCCCATTCACAGTGACATGAATTCCGAAGTCAGTAACGTTCTTACATACTGAATATTGCTATACGGTCGGCGATGCTTGGTTTCGCGATTTCATTGCTGGCCTGTTCATGCTCGGCCTGTTCACACATTTACTTCAGTTACCATGCGAATCTTGAAATATCATTCTCACCTTCTTACCTGGCATATATTTTTTTCTCTCTCTCGCACATATTGTACGCTCATTATTGCTGCACGTGATTGGCTTTCTGGCTTTCGGCAGCCGAATATGTTGCCCCCTATGTCCAGTTGACATGGCGGCTTGATGTCCATGACGCCCTGCGGTAGCCATGGCGGACATTTCACGTGTGTGATAGCAATGCCTCGTTGCTTCAGGTTCTGGTAGTGTTGCAATTACAGATTTCCAAGAGCAGAAAAATTGCCCTTCGAAGTTCACGAGCTTGCCGCTTTTACGAAATCACAACTCTGTCGTTTCGATCACTTCGCTAGATTGTTTCAGCTGTATTACAAAAGAGCATGCCGATCTCGTTCTGCTCCCAAAACTGTAGGCAGGAGATTGCTTTGGTTTTCAATATTAACAAGTTTAACGCAATTTCGCACACATTCTGTTGTCGGGGTATTTCGGCAGCTTTCTTTCACGATCCTCAGCAGAGATTTGCTAGTGTGGCCACTTATTTCGAAACGTTTCAGTGCTTTATTGTAATATAACTGTTGATTTTTCACAAGTGCAAAAAATACCCATACATAATTATTCAACACTCCAACATTCATTTATTTCTCTCCTTTTTTTTGCCTCAGATTTTAGGTGCAAAGTTAAGGCAGTTTCTACATCATTCAATTACTGTCTTTTCAAGCGATGGTATTACGATGAAAACCAACGAGCGTGCTTGCCCACCTGCTCCAGGAAGGCACCTTTTGTAAATAAACTTGCCTGTGATGGAGTGTGCCGAACTGGTGAGACCGCATTACTCTCCACATTTTCGCTTGAATTGTAGTATTTCGGGTTTTCGTATTTCGTTTACCGTTTTTAACGACTTGTAGTAAACGGAATTCAAAATGTAAATTAGCCTAACCACATTTAATAAACAATTTAAAGAAAACAGTGAGCATTCGTGTTCTAGTTTTACATTACCGATTCAACTGGGATGCATATATAAAGTAGAGTACAGTTGTTTACCTACGAGAAATGCTAAAAATAGATTATTAACAACAGCTACACAACAAATACCAATACCAATTGATTTTGGTAATTTATTAACATAGTGGCTCATCAAGTTTTTAAATGTATTGTGAATTCAAGACGCTAATATATATTTTTGCTGTTACAGCTGAAGTTTGCAAATTCCCAATGGCAAGCTTTCCGTGCTTCAAGGAAGTTCATCCTGTATTTATATATAATTCAAATGATGAATCGTGCTTCAAATCCTTCAGTTGCTCTTATTTTGGAAATAAATTTCCAACTTTGAAGGAGTGTCGACAAACTTGCAAGAAGTGTAAGTCCATTTCTCGATACCATGCTTTGCATGAAGGTAAAAGTCGCTCAATGCGGCGCCCTGTGACACATTCGCATGGCTCTCTTATCTCGTTGTGGAACATAGTACACAATCAGGAGTTTTTATGGCTGATCTGAGTTAATCAGTGAGTTAATGTTACAAACTTTTGTCCTGTTTTGTGCAGGTGTTGACAAAGAATCACCGGGATGTTCTACAGCAAATACTTTTCAACAAACGACCACACTCGAAGTTTAGGGGCAAGCCATGTCATTCCAACACCCACATTGTATTTCGATTTGTCCAATAATGCAGGCTTGACGCGTGAGTCGACTCTCTGTCATTTTTTAAACACCAATATCCAGTCAAGAAGCCATATTGTGATACTTTGAGAAGTCCGCAAACATGAAGTGTCAAAAAAATGAACAATCATTACAGTAGTCCTCATTAGAAATGTGAGAGGTGTATGCTTCCTTCAGTTTCACTATATAATACAGCCGAAAATTCAGATAACAATGAATGCACATACATACAAATACGTATTCAGAATTTAGTTTTTATTTTGAAATATTTATTCCTTAATCCTTGCTTCAGTTTTTTTTTTGGCTTCTGTGGGTACGCTGCATTAGCACAGACTTGCTTTCTTTATTGTTAACGTCATTGATCTCATCACATCATTGAGGATTAAGAATATTGCAGATGACCTCCGCAAAAGAACAGGGCCGCGTGTTTCGAAGACCATTAGATAGACTAACAAAGCAGGATCATCTATAAGCGATTCGCAGTGTAGAAACATCAGGCTAAGTGTTTACCTGTAAAACATGTGGACTAGGTAATCATGAAAGGTTTTGCCACATGCATTACCTGCTTCTCTTTGTTTAATTTAGGTTAATGTTTTACTGTTTATTTCATGTTGCCCTTCCAGGGCAAAACAAAAATATTTCCACAATGCAGAGCAACGAGACTTGTTTGCAGTACAGAAAGGCTTAACTGGTTACGATGGCATTTGTTTTTCACGAATATAATTTGAAATATAATTCAGATATTCATATGTGTCCCCAATGAGTTAGTTAAGTATTGATGATTTAGGCTTAGAATTATTAACTTTGTGTTTTTTATGTTGTTCCTGCCTTAATTTAATCAGGCCTCAAAATTGATTGGTGGCATTTTATTCGCGCAAGTGCAAATAAAGATAACAATTCCACAATAACCTTACTAACTGTTTAGCGCTCATTAACGCATATAAATTTCATTAGGTATTCCTGTAAGAACGCTATTGTTGATTCTTTGTGTGCCACGGGAAAAAAATGTACCTGTTTGAATAAAAGCATTTCTAACAAGTTATCAACTCCATAGTTGAGGCTGCCAAGAGTGTAAACCTTGACCATTCTTACTCTGATTAAGCGCACATATGCACCACTTTGCAGAGCCTCAACAGACGACAGTTGACGCAAAGACCGGTGACCACGTTTCAGGTTTTTCTGTCAAATATATGAAAAAAGCACTTTAAATACAGGCACACAAAAGGACACTACGTGGTGCTAATAAAGTTTAAAAAGGAAGTCAAGAGATTGTTTACACCAGCACCAGTGGCCTTCTGGTGTTGTAATCGTCATAACGGTACATAACGATCAACCTACACTTTCATACTTTGTCTGTACCAGTTCAATTGAGTAAACGTATGGAGCAAATTTGCGGCGCCTATTAGTTAAATATTCAGCCTTCCCTCTCTACTCGTACCATAGTCCCCTTCGTGAGAACACCTTCGAGAAATGCACGTAGTTTGCTAATTTAAAGAAGATTACTCCATCAAATGTAGGTCATTTGGGGAAAGCGACGAGGGAAACGTAATCTTAACGAATGTTTCGACCCTCTCTTGAAACATATGCCGGAAGAAAACGGTACTTGCATATTGACAATACAAATGAAAAAACAAATTGTAGCGTGAGGCGAAATATGAAAACAGAACGGGATAGACTGAGAGGACAGAGTGCTGCTGGCAACAGCATGTTTATTTTCGAACCAGTGACTTTTGGGTCATAATCATCAGACAGATAGATAAGAGCGTGGAATCATTCAGATAAGGCTGTGAAACCTGGTATCACAATGGAACCTGATTTTCTGCTTTAAAAATACTGATATTGTTCAGCATCATCAAGTTTTACTTGACAGATCACGTGCCTTTTCTCTACTGGCTTTCCGCAAAACATGATCAACAGCACTTCCTAAAGCCGGCTTTTAAAGGTATTATCTCTAAAATATCAACAGCAAAGTGTCAACCAAGTGACACCTGTTGGATTAGAGGGCAGCGATGGGGTTTAGTTGGTACATCTTCATGCTTATAATTTGGTAAAAAAATCACTCGGTGTGATCTCTGTTTTTTTCCCTCACCCTGCAGCGCCTAAGAAGCATGAACACTTTTTCTGATATCTTATATTTCCATTTGCTGGCACACAAAACAAAGGAGGCCACACAGCAATAGAATTTTCGCCGTCTTCTTCGCGCCATGCTAGCTGCAAAAACTTCCAACTTGCGACTAGAATAAACCAAGAGATGTTATGTGAAAAGAACCCTCCGACGAAATTCCCTACTTCTGGTTCCAACGTCATTTAGGTAATACACCTTTCGTGTAGTCGGTCTTGAGAAAAACCAGCAGATGTTTCAATGAGTGTGCTCAGGAGCACAACCAACTTTTGCAACGGGATGAGCAGTAATCTTGCCCGGCCTTTTCAGAGGTGCAACAGCTGCTAGTTTCGTCCGGAAAAGGCAACCTTCTAATCTAAGGGGACAACGTATAGTCATTGAGACGATTATTTTTCCAAAAGAGCAGATACAGCTGTTTTTGTTCTTCTTTGACGCCTTTACCATTGGACAAAAACATCATTCGTAACGAGACACATTATGTCATTTCCCCGTACGTCGCTTTTTTTTCAGTAGTGTCATTGCGACAATTCAATGGTATTTATATTCTGTTACCTATACACTTATCTACTTTATCAAGATAAAGTGAGTGGAAAATTTTACGCCTGTGTTTGTGTATGTGTGCCTTGTTAGAGCTGCCCTAACCGCGCAGTTTAAATCTTTTTGAAATTGTTATCTAGACGCTGGCACATTATACACGCGAGGGCGCGTATATTATGCAACAGTTGGCAGGCACTTAAACAACCCAAGGAGTAAGCAGGCTTCTTTTTGGTGCGAGGGCACTCTCAATATGCTACAGTCGGGTATGCTACATGTGGCTTGGTTTGTCTGATCTCATTATCAAGGCGCTCGAAGGACAAGAAGCCTTGTGGTGCAGTATCATCAGTAGGGTACTTGAAGAACATGAGGAAGGAGCATAATTCACTTTGGCTTGAGCTCATGTTCGATACACTATAGCTAGCTCTACATTGTGTGGTGTTGACTACGTTGCTCCAAGCGACGGCGTCTGCACACGGCAGCCTGGCTCCACGAAGTGCTCCTCACTTATTAGATTAAAGTGTGTGAAAAGTCTCCCCTCACAACAAGATTAACACGAGGACGAGGATATAGCAACGCTTCGGTGGGTAGTAGGCAACCAATCAGCACACCGGCAAGTTGGAAAACTTCAACCAGCGGAGAAGAAGGCAGTCATTAGGGGTGAATAACCTACAGGGCACGTCACATCAAAGCATGAGCTAGTGACGCGTAATCGACATCAGCTATAATAAGGCAATTACATTGTTGAGCGTTCAGTACTGATACACATGAATATTTGGGCAGCATATAAGTGTGAAAGTTAGCCTAGTGTAGCCACACTTATCGATCTAAAGGCCAGTAAGCCGAAGGAACTGTTTAGGGCCTACATTTGTTGAAGTGGTGCATTTATAACCTTTCTTTCATAATTCTGAGAATTTGCTTTGCTCGTTCGTCGCATTCTGACAAATTGCTTGCTGATTTTACTAGGACTTCATTACGTCAGTCATACAACTTCTGAGTCTAGGTGTTAGTTATGTCAGGTGATACTTCCTTCTGTGGTTCTTGAATTGGGCATGTTTTGCGGCTTTAAGAATTCCTGTGTGGTAGAAATTGTAAGTGCCATCGCGTCTTAAAAATATGTCCGTCAACATTTGAAAAGAAATAACGGTATTTTAAAAGTGTTCCTTCGTTTCGTACAACATGAACATCATTGCGAGATGCTTGACTCAATTAGTTGCTCACAATTTTTTTTTCGACAGATCGAGAGTGAACAGCATTGATTTAGGGTAACTAGTTGTGAGCTGTTCATATATCGCAATAATAAAACTGCTTTTAGAATATATACTATGCAAGCGTAGACTCCTACATAGATAAAACGGAAAGGCATTGGAGCTTCCGCACTAGGAATGCTGTACACGACACAATTCTATTTTGCTATTAGCCAGAATCGCAGTGATATTAGCCAGAATCGCAGTGATGGTACTTTGCAGCAGGAACTTCCCTACTTCACCGCCGCTTGCCACCTTCTTCTGCGCCCGTCGTATAGCCCCTTTTTAGCGATGTGGTGGTGATTACTGTTTAATTTTGTGAACGAATTCTCTCAAGGTACAAGTCAGAAGGTTTCATAACTGGTGACAGTTATCTAAGCTGTAGACAGTTCTTTTTTAGCGCAGCAGACATATCTCCGAACAGAAGAGTTGCTGAGAAATTGGTGATGCAGGACAGCGAGATGGTCGTTATTTTCATCAGGAACGCCAAAAAATGGGTGCTGGAAAAATACAATAAGTGGTGTTATTGTGTCGGAATCTACTAGGCGTAGATTCTAGGGTAAAAACATATGTGTTCTGAAGTACCACAAGAGAGATGAGGCTGCTTTAATTTCACTGACAAAATAGCGGTTCATAGCAACGCTTGCAATTGTAAATAAGCGAAAACACCTGACGAAATTCTACTTTCTCCAACAGTACACTTTATGTAAATCCGTCTGTGATAAACTGTCACCTAAATTATTCAGAAAATAAATAAATACTGCCGCACACAGGACCATTTCAGAAACATTGTGATGTCCGTTGACTTTGATCAAATGTACACACTTCTCCTCAACATTTGTGAAGAAGTACGAAGTCGTATACCCTAATTTGCATAGAATGCATGTCCAATCTGCCACCGCGTCACAAAACATAACGTTCACTTTCCGTGGGAGCACCGCTGATATCAACGATTCCAAAAAAGCGTGAAAAAGTCGGCATGGCACACTAAGTGACCTGGGCCAAGTAATTATTAAATACCATTCGCCTTGGTGAGGCGACAACTGGTGTCACAAGTTACGTCTACCTACCGGAAACAAACTGGATGGAAATTTATTATAACGTGGCTATCTAAACTGGCCCGAGCACGTCGGCATTGTTGTTCCTATGCTGCACGAAGAGAGTACCTGGCAGCAACCATGAAGAATGTTCGCACATAATCTTTACCAC